GATGCTCTCTGCCCTGCGGTATCAAATAGACAGCAAAGATTTAATTCCTTATGTAAAAATAAAAACAAAGCCAAGCATGGTGGTGTACAATTTAATCCCAGTACTTGGAAGACAGAGGCAGGTGAACTTGGGTGAGTTTGAGGCCAGCCTGGTCTAGTTTGACGTCAGCCTGGTCTATAGTATGAGTTCTAGGCCAGCCAGGGCTACATAGTAAACACCAGTCTGCCAGACAAACCCCCAAAACCACAGTTCTTCTATCTCATTAGAATGCAAGTCTGACTTCATCTTTAATAAATGGCAAAATAAATGGGAACTGTCTTAAAATAACTTTATGGTTATTATCAGTGTTTTGTTTGTATGCCTGTTTTATAGACATATATACCTGGGACCACATGGCAGTTTCTTGGGAGAAAAGGAGTTGGAAGTGGAAGGAGGTCTAATTCCCTGGTCTCCCTCGAGCAAATCCAAAGTTCCCCTTACCCTCTCCTCTGGGCTCCTTTTGCACGTGTGTATTATGAAGCAGGAGCAATCACTCACTCTATAGATGGCATCTGCCTCAGGGTTCTAGCTCGTCTCCCTACAATGCACAGCAGTTACTAAACATCTCTGGAACTCCCAGCACTTTGAATGAAGGACATGGTCACACAAATGCTAACAGACTTGGGTGAGATTTTTCAAACATCTCTCCTGCTTTTCTGCCTGTTAACATCTTGACTCCATTTAAAAGTTTCAAATCCGGGTTAATGTGAAGTCCTCAGCAGAGGAAGGGAAAATCTCAAGGGAAAGGTTTGGTTCCCCAAGCCAGGACCCCACCAACTGAGGAGGAAAAGCCTTTCGGTCCAGGACAGGCTTTAGAGCATCTGGGATTTGGTTTGCACTTTAAACAGTACCACCGCTTGCTCCAAATTCTGAAGGTTAATTTGGAGAGTATCCGACTGCAACCCCTCCCCACCACAAACACTTTTTTTTTAATGTTTCAATTGAAGACGCAAAGTTTGCTCTCTTCCATGTTGAGATCTGAGAACAATAGCAGCTTTCTGAGGCCGCGAGACTTCAAAAGGCCGCTGAGGGACCGCTCAGAAAATGCTTGGTCCTAATGACTGGAGCAATGCGCAGGCATCCTCCTGAGGCTCGGTACCCATTAGCACAGGAAAATCCATCATCCCCTTTCCTTCCTGGGTCCTATGCTATCCAGGCAGATGCAGGCAACTGGAAGGTGAAGCCTTGAAGAGACAAGGCCAGACCCAGCTGGGAAACATAGAAGACTATAAAAGCCAATGAGATAAGAAAGTATTGAGATGACCCAAATAGTATATGGATTTTTCTTTTTAATTCGAAAGACAGGAAGAAAAAGAACATAAAGTTGGGTGGGTAGAGAGATGGGGGACCAGGGAAGAACTGAGGGAGGAGGAAAAGCATTACATATGTGTGTGTGTGTGTGTAAAAACTGTGGAGGGGTGACTGGTGCGTTTATGCTGTAGGAAGAGCTCTGGGAAAGTATCAGGTCGGGCCTGAAACAGCCACACCCCAGAGTTGATAAGAGAAAACCAGAGCAGACCCGCCCCCTCTGTGCCAGTGCGGGTGTGGGTTCATCTCCCCTTTGCCGGCCCCGCAGTTTACACCCGGATGACTCCTGCTGCCCGCCCGCCTGCGAAGAAACCGAGCTGCAAACTTCCCAGTCTCGGAACCCTGCTGTTCCAGGAGCAGTTTGGATTACCGCTCAGCCCCCCCAGCCGCCCGCTCGGAGAGAGTAGTATTCAATCTCCCCCGCCCCCTGCTGCGGTGAAAGTTTGCTCCCACTTCGCTGCTCCCCCACCTCCACCCCGAGGCGTGAGGAACGAGTAGGAGTTCCCGGGTCCGCGCCGCACAAATACACTCATCAACAAAGGAAAGCCCATTAAACCTTCCCTCCTGTGAACTCGCCCCCGCGGATACCTCTTTGAACTGACCCCCGCCCCGCAGCCCCAGAGTCGTTTGGGGGCGCGCTGGCCCTCCCGGGTTCTCTTCTTCCCTCCTGGCGGCTCACTTTTGCTGCGTGCCTTGTCTTTGAAGTCTCTTTACATTACGCTACGGCAGCCACGCGCTCTTGGCCCGCGCGGGGGCTTTGTGTAGCGGAACTGACATTTGGCCTTGATACCTGTATCTCTTGGTGATTGCAACAAATTTCCAAAATAAATATTGTGCTTTGATCTCCCTGCACTGCATTTTTAATGGACGCTCCCAACATTACTCCATTAGGAAGATTTTTTTTTTCTTTCTTTTCGGATCTCCATGCGAAGGGACGAGAGTTAATGCACAGTTCTTCGAAGTCTCTCTCCAAACTCTTGCTTGGCCCTGGGAGGGCTAGAACTGTTAACAAAAAGCGGTTATGGCGCTCCAGAGTGTCCGGTGCACCTAGAGCAAGCAGTTCTACAGGCTTTGCACTGAAACTTTTGAGCTCACAAGCACTGTTACCGAGGCAGCACATTTTACAGATGGGCAAACAGAGGCATACTTACCAGGATTCCCAGTAACAAGGCGGAGAAACCTGGCTTCAAAGTTTGAGCGCTTAACCGCTCTGATTGGCCCCCCGTGGAAGCTTAATAGCCTAAAAAGTTAGCAGGAAAAGTTAACTCTTGTAACTATTGAAGGGTATGTAAATTGACTCGTTTTGCCTTTTGGGTAAAATAGCTAACACTTTTGGCCAAAAAGGATGCTTCCAGCTTGCTTTACCGCCTTCGGGGAGAGGCAGGATGGGAAGGCTCAGAAAGGGAGAGGAACCAGATGGACAGCCTTCTAGGTTGTCCTGGCCAAGCTCCCTGGCTTCAGATGCCTACGTGAGAAAAGTCTCCTTTTGGTCCCAGGTTTCTCCAGTGCTGGGTCCTTGCAATTGGACCTAGAGGGAGCAGGTCGGCCAGGTCCCCAGGCAAACGTCTGAGTCATCCCCCCTTCCCACTTGCACAGCACCCCAAACTCGTGTTCAGGGAGGAGCGAGGTCGCGTGGGTTGAGCTGAGAGGTGGCTGTTCACTGGTATACGAGTGATAACTCGTTGGGGAGACGGCCCGGATGCTAGTACGGGGCGTGTGAAGCCTGTTAGTCATTTCCATTTCGAAGGCGCGTCCGGAGCGTGGGAGAATATGGGCCTTCTTAATGGCATGGTGTCAGGACTCTTCTTGATGAACCTGTGAAGGGCGCCGATTTGCAGTGCAGAGTCTGAAGCGGTAGGGTTCCGCTAACCTCTGGGTGCTAATTTGGGAGTTAGGTCAGTCCTCATCGTCTGGTGGTCCCTGGACGGCGCATAAACACCCGAAGCGAACTGAACTGGTTCCGGGCTTCCAGAGAGGCTGGTGGCCTCAGAGACCGAAGATCCCAGGGGCGGAGAGGCCGGAGAAGAATCAGGCTAAGTCAACCTCAGGCGAACCACTTCTCTGTGCAGTCACCCAAGTTGCCACTACTGCTGGGTCTCTGACGGGACTCCAGGCCGCCAAAGCGGTGAAGGCCCCTAGTCACCCTGCCAGCCTCTAGTCTATCCCTTTCGGCTCCTCCGGAACTAGTAGGGATGGGTCCTGGACCAAAAGCAGGCAGGAGGCCTACTGACTCTGCAGGTCGGGTCGACGAAGTTTTGAAGGGGAGGATACACCCGGGAGAAGCCTCCAGTGTCCGAGACAAAGCACTCCTGTGGATGAACTTCCAACGATGACAGGAACAAGTGTTTGCTTTGACTTTTCTCCCCCCACACACACACCCAGGGACCTCCTCCCAGTGATCTGTGGGTTCTTAAAGAACCGGGATGGGGTGAGATGGGGTCGCGGGGTAAGGGGACTGCGGAGGAGTTCCCAAGCCTTGCTGTCCAGCTTGTGACATCGCCGCGCTTGATGGGTACTGAAAGGTTACTAGCATCTCTGGCAAGTCTCGATGGAGCCTAACAAGTGGGAGGCTTGCCCGGTCCTGCTCAACACACGGAACTGCTTGTCTGGAAAGTACAATCCAACTCCCCTCCCCCGAAATCCCTGGCGCCCACCGCCCCAAGTGTCTGTTCTGGGTTGTTCTGGTGTCCTGCCAAGTTCGGCTGTGAGAGGAAGCAGTAAGCGCGGGGCGGGTTTTTCCTAGATTCACTCTGCAAAAGTTGTAGCCCCAGGAAAACTTCCAGGTCACCAGTGGGAGCCTCAAGAGGACTCTGCGGCTTGTCTAGCGGGAGGGCCTGGAGTGTGTGCGCCACCCACTGCCGCCCTGGGAGGCCGCCCAGCCCTGCCCAGGGTCACAGAGCTGCCTGTGCCAAGGGGTGGGACACGCGGCCGACCGGGTTTGGTCAGTCCCACGCCCCGCCCCGCCCCAGGAGCTCGCTCTGGTCCGCGACGTGAGGGTGCGGAGTAAGGACGGTGAAGTTACCCTCATCCCAGTCCCAAAAGTACCGCTCCAGAAAGCTAAAGGCAGATTTTTTTTTAGAGATAACAAAGACACTTTGTCACTTTGCGCGCTGCCTTGGTGAAAATCTTTAATTGCAAGTGGGGGTGGGGGATCGAGTGTCCCGAGCAACCCAAGCGCGAGTCTCCAGGCGGCAAGGCCCCCTTTGATCAGGAAAATCCAATTATTTGTGTATATACATTTCCCACATAGTGATTACTTCATTAATTGTCCCGCCTTTATCTCCTCCCTTCCCATCCCCCCTAATAATCAGTTCTTTTATCCAGACCAACAAACACACCATAGGAGCTTTGTGGATTCAAAGGATTTGCTTTCGCTTCTGAAAGAGCCGCTATTCTTTGATGATTGGGTAGCGGCAAACTTCAAAGCCATAAATCTTTCCTCTGACTGGCTGGCGGCCCAGCAAAGCCCTTATCAAATTCTTGGAGGTGATCCTGAAGCGCTCAGAACGCGCGCGGGGCGAGCGAGCCGGGCGCGGGCGGGCGGGCGGGGAGGACTCGGAGGCACGCTGGGCGGCAGATCGTCCTCGCCTTCGGGTGTCCATGCCTCGGTGGCCGCGTCCCATTCCACAACGAGCGGCCTTCAAGCAGTAGCCATGGCCGCTGTGGCCGTCCTCCGGAACGACTCTCTGCAGGCCTTCCTCCAGGTCAGGGTCGGGCCCGGAGAGGGCGGGAGCAGGTGGGAATTTGTAGTCCGGATCTGTGCGGGTACTCTGAGCACCTTGAATCTCAAAAAGACCTCCCCCTTAAGGGTGCGGCTGGAGTCAGACCTAGGCGCGCCCATGCCAACGTGACAACCAAGCTGGTGTGTGTATATGTGGCCTATCGGGAGAGATGCATGGATTTGGGGAGGAGGGTATGTGGATGTCAAAGTGGCAGAAAACTGGGCCTGAATTCACCTTGCCCGGCACTTCTGCTGACTTCAGCCTAGAACAGGCCAAAGAGGAACATAGTGGCTGCAAGGAAAAGAGCTCATAAAATGCTAGAGCAGATGGCCCCACAGCCCGGCTGAGGGTGTTTTCAGGCTCTTCCTGACCGGTCCGGTCCCTCTGCCTCTTTCTTTGCACCTACCTTAAAGGCTGATTGGCCTGTCTTTGAGCCCAGTAGTTTAGCAGAAAGCTACCGCGCATCGGGGGTTCAGGTAGCACAGACGCTGAAAGTTTCCCGGGACCGCTGGGTGCGCTCTTGGGGTGCGGTGAGGTCTGGGGGAGGGATGGCCCGGCGGAGGAGGGGCAGGGGTATAATAGTGGGGGTGGCGGGCCTGCCCAGAGTCGGCGTTTGAAACGCTAACCTTTTGTCTCTTCCGCCCTCCCTTGCCGCCGCCTATGCAGGACCGCACCCCCAGCGCCTCTCCGGACCTAGGCAAGCACTCACCCCTGGCTCTGCTGGCCGCCACCTGTAGCCGGATCGGCCAGCCTGGCACGGCTGCAGCCCCCGACTTCCTACAGGTGTCCTACGACCCAGCTCTGGGCTCACCCTCCAGGCTTTTCCACCCTTGGACCGCCGACATGCCCGCTCACTCGCCAGGCGCCCTGCCTCCCCCGCACCCCAGCCTGGGGCTAACGCCACAAAAAACACACCTGCAGCCGTCCTTCGGGGCAGCTCACGAGCTCCCGCTCACGCCCCCCGCGGATCCCTCGTACCCTTACGAGTTCTCGCCGGTCAAGATGCTGCCCTCGAGCATGGCGGCACTGCCTGCCAGCTGCGCGCCCGCCTACGTACCCTACGCCACCCAGGCCGCTCTGCCTCCGGGCTACTCCAACCTGCTGCCCCCGCCACCACCTCCGCCTCCACCGCCCACCTGCCGCCAGCTATCCCCTGCACCAGCCCCGGACGACCTCCCCTGGTGGAGCATCCCTCAATCGGGTGCGGGGCCAGGAGGCTCTGGGGTTCCTGGAACTAGCCTCTCCAGCGCCTGTGCCGGGGCCCCCCACGCTCCCCGGTTCCCTGCCTCGGCTGCGGCTGCTGCAGCGGCTGCAGCTGCCCTGCAAAGGGGCCTAGTATTGGGCCCGTCGGACTTCGCACAGTATCAGAGCCAGATCGCCGCGCTACTGCAGACCAAGGCCCCCCTGGCGGCCACGGCCAGGAGGTGCCGCCGCTGCCGCTGCCCCAACTGCCAGGCGGCTGGCGGCGCCCCCGAGGCGGAGCCGGGCAAAAAGAAGCAACACGTGTGCCACGTGCCAGGCTGCGGCAAGGTGTATGGCAAGACGTCGCACCTGAAGGCGCACCTGCGCTGGCACACGGGCGAGCGGCCCTTCGTGTGCAACTGGCTCTTCTGCGGCAAGAGCTTCACGCGCTCAGATGAGCTGCAGCGGCACCTGCGGACTCACACGGGCGAGAAACGCTTCGCCTGTCCCGAATGCGGCAAACGCTTCATGCGCAGCGACCACCTCGCTAAGCACGTGAAGACGCACCAAAATAAGAAGCTCAAAGTTGCTGAGGCTGGGGTGAAGCGGGAGAACCCGCGGGACCTATGAGCTCACTCGGGCACCTCGGAAGCCACTCCCGCCCAGGACATCCTACCCCGCACCTTTGCTGGCATGCCCGGAGCAGACCATCGAGGCAGCTGGCAGAGTGGAAACTTTAAAAACGAACTTTTAATTGTCCTCCTCCCAAAACGTAGCCCTGCTGCTGTCCGGTCCTGAGCGGAGGACAGGACAGGCAAGAATGGGATCATGGTTGAGAACCCTAAGTTACCCCAGGACAATTCCAAAGTCCGAGCCATCGCATGCCTAGAAGATCTACACACAGGGATTCCACCCCGGCCTGGCCTTGCTTGTAGGATTCTCTGCTGATGGAAAAAGGAAGGCCTTAGGAGGTTCAAAACGGCCTGAGTTTTCACTAGGCCGGATTCGGGCTTTGTACAGGTTATTTAATAATAGCTTTGTTAAAGAGTAATTATAATTATAACATTAAAAAATGTTTCTGTTGTTCTCAGCTCCACCCAGAGCTACAGCATGGTGTTTCTGTAAAGCGCTCAACAGTTGCAGCGTGAAAATAAATACGTTCATTCCAGGGTCTCCTCAGGAAGACCCCCGCAGAGCTGGTCTCCTCTGATCTTTTCTTCTTCCTGGAGTCCTCACTGAGAGGTCAGGTTTCACCAGGGATTTGATGGTTCCTGTGTGCTGCTTGTATCTAGGGAAGTCTTTGGTTTCTAAAGTTTGGGGAAAGTATGTACTGGGTGCGTGGGCAGGCATAGGGCAGTCGATTTTCAGGTAAAGAGCCTAGGGCAAGATTTGCCCCTCCCAGCTTAGGTTTCTGTGCAACTCCAGGACTTGATGTGGGGTTAGCTTTATAAGTTTGATACCCGCTGCACATAGAACGAGGCGATTTCCCTGCTGAATTGTTGCTACTTTGGGGACCGGTGGAAGGAGCTAAACGTTCTCAGGGCCTTCTCCCAGGTGAGATTTTTAGAGTTAAATTGGCAGTTCTTACGTGAATTGGGCAGTATTAAGATAACACCGAAAATGTAACTGTCACTCTTGCAGCAAGTCAGCCTGGCAGCACAACTTGTTTGCTAACTCACAAGGAACAGCTAGGCAGACGGCTAGGTAGGCCAGAAAGTTTAATTCTTCTTGCAGCTTGGACTTTCCTTTTAATCACCTGGCCAGACAAATTTTCTCAGGGAAGAGCCAGAAATTCTCGCTCATAGCGTAAAATGTAGGAACAAGGCTTTTTTCCCCCTCCAAGATCTACGTTTCTCACCTTTCTCTAACTTTTTAAAGCTTGAAGTCTTTTCTTTTTCCCAAGTGTCTCAACTCATCTGTATTGCACTATTTGGGGTTTCAACCCCAAAATTTAACAAGCAATCAAACTCTTTCATTCAGAATCAGCAAACCTCAAAGCAAGCTTTAAATCTCCTTGCTGTTTTAAGCCGATGTCAATGCGGTGACTGATCTTTGATAGTCATGATAGATGGGTGTCCATGTATTTATAGTTCACAGCCTATAAGCTTGCCGTGAATTTTTGCCTGAAGTCAAACTAAAGCGCAAATTTTCAAAAGCTCTTGAAATTTATGTAAATAAAACACTTGCATCAACATCATTGAGAGGGGAAAAACTTTTATAATCATAAGAAAATGCTTTATTGTGTGATGTGAGACAAGACAGCAAGGGTATGCTAGATTCCTTGGCAAGGCACGCCTCAGAGCTACTTGTCCTCTTTAGAGACTTTGAACTATTTAATAAACTTGAATGCCAGCCGTCCTGGTCCCTCGCTTCAGCAGAGTGAGCTAAGTGTGTAAGGGTGCGGCTGGTAGACAGTGTGATCAGTGCACACCTAAATGTATGTTCTTAATCTAAATCTACTGTAATTAGTCAGGAACATCCTGATTAGACCTGTTCATGTTACGTGGATTAGACCTAGTACATGTGACACCGATTAGACCTGTACATGTTACATGAATAAGTAGAAAAGCTGCAAGAAGTTTCCAGTCATTTCCTCTGAGCCACTGCCTCGGATGTACTTCAGACTCAAAGGTTTCTAGGCAGATGATGGAGACGTAGGACTCAGGATATTTGAAGTGATTTTGTCATGTGTGTAAGAAGAGTAGCTTTGATTTTTTTTTAAAAAAAGGAAAGTGGCGGTTTTGAAACACACTTGTGATTACAGGCACAATCCTTTAGGATTCAAAGAGAATGAGAGGGAAACAAACCTTTCTCATGAGGAAGAAAAAGCAGACGAAATGTATGAGATTGAAAATTAAACTTGAGAACTAGAGAAGGCCGTTTTCTTAGAACTTTGTAATTAAGGGAAGAACTAGGTGGAATTTGCCAAAATGAGGTATAGATAACTTTAAAAACCAAACTCAGCGTTGTGATGACAAAACTAACCGTTTTAGGATTGTGTTTAATTGAACCTGCCAAATTCAAAAGCAGCCTTTAGCTTAATTTGATACACAGTATTTGCCGATCATTCATTGTATCACTGAAGCTCTGTCATTTACTGTAGAAAAAGAATGCCATTATTGAAGAAGTCAGGAAGCCACAGTGATAATAATATCCAAGTATAAGAAGGCATTCCATGGGTATACTGAAAAAAATACGCTAATGTAATGTGGAAATGCATTCAGGTTTACAAGTTGTGGAAATTTAATTTTTGCATGCTTTATTTATAAGTTACAACCAGAGTACCAATATAAGGACATTGAAACTTATTCTGGAACACATGCCAAAACAATATGTATGACTTAGGCACAAATTGAATATATTACTTTCAGTAGAAAACTTAATGGAATTAAAATTTTAGAAACAAATTATTGCTAAGTGTAAACTACGTGTTATTTTAAATTGGAGTTTGCCAGCCCCAAAAAGTGAGTTTAGTCTGCTAACTTTTATCAAGGTTTTTTAAAAGACTTTGGTACACAATTATTTAAAAGCTGAAATGGGTATGTTAATGATTTTCTCAAATAACACTACGCTCGAGTTTTAAGAAGCTGGTTTGGGCAGAATAGAAATAGAGTGGATTTGAAGCCATTATATAAATTGGCTAATTTGGAATTTTGCGTTTCTAAATTAAACAATATGATTTTCTGCTTTTCTCAGGATAACATTGGGAAGAAATTTCCATAGTTGGTCACTTGTTTTTAATGGATCTGGTAAACATGCCAAAGGAAATACAAGTGTTGCTAACCTCAATTCCAGTCGCTTCTACATGCATGAGAATTAAACTCTTATGGTTGTGTTTTATAATATATATATTTATTTGCCTTAACCCAATCAAATAAGACTTGCCACTAAAAAAGTAATCTTGCTGAGGGTGTTTCCAGGAAAAACTTGTTTTGATGACATCATAAAAAGGCCGGTTTTTAGACCAACATTTGCTATGTTTTATTCTAGTACCGTAGGCTTTGAAGCAATCAGTTGAAAGTGGTGTCTTCACATTGTTCCTTGGGTCTGCTGGGAGAATGTGACAAAGGTTGTTACAGAAGTAGCTACTAGTTCCTACTCTTTCACAGTGTGGCTGACGCCTGTTTATGTAGGACTGTAGATTTGCAAGACATTTTTACTTACTTTAACTTATTGCATTACACAACAGAGTCAATTAGAAGGTTTTTGAGGGGTTCTTTTTGGCTTTTGGTAGGGAATGAGGTATGCTGAAGAATCAGACTTAGATTTTGGTGTCTGGCAAACAGCTGCGTTCACTACTGTCCCCAGTTGGCTGCCACTACTTTCCTCCTGTTTGCATGACAGAGGGAGGACTTTTAAAAGAATCGGAGACCTGGGACACCTATAAAATGCTAGTGGCACACACCTTGAATCCAGTAAGAAGGAGGATAAAGCAGGATTGCCCAGTGTTCAAGGCCAATACAGGTTACAAAGTTAGTTTGAGGCCAGCCTGAACTACCAAGCAAGACCATATCAGTTGCAAAACCCCCTCCAAAACCAGAGAAAAGTATGCTAACACAGTTTGATAGAGTAGGGAAAACAAAAGGAAAATATCTAGGTAGCCCCGTGTTTACGATGAGATATGTTTAGGTTAATATGTCAAAATGACATGCACTATGGTCATAATCTGATTCGTGTAACAATCTATATAGGTAACTTAGCTTTTTCTCTGGTATTAGTAAGATTCCACATTTTTGCATAAATATCTTTATGTCAATTGTTTTTAAAGAATGTGTTGATACTAGGTTCAGCAGTAGTTCAATTTAATTCATAGACACTATACAATAGCCTTCATAATGTCCCTAACTGTTACATATAAGTGATTCTAGTTTAACAACAGTGTAGCCCAATAGCTTCGGACCATTGCTGCTTTCCTGACCACTTCCCTGGATGTTTCAGTGCTACAGTTTCTTATGTGAAGATTCGCATGTGTATGACATCATACCATTTCAGCTGACATTGTAATGTCTTTCTGGACTATACGCTTGCTCTCCTTCCTCGTCCTTAGCAATTCTCTAAAGCAGTTCGCAATGGGAAGGTTGCTATCTAGTCCATAATTTAGTCCACACACGTGGACTTCAGTAGTTTTTATACAACATATAATAACTAAAGTGCGGGTTAGTTTTCTGTGTAATACAAAAGTCATTCAGGGAAATCATAGTGAGTTCTTAGTTTGATAGAACATGGAAAATCTACAGCTTTCACCTTCCAGAAAGTCGATTCAGCCCTGAGAAGACGGAGGCTGCAAACTATGAAATGTAAGTTTGAGATACAATAAAAATATTTACTAGTCACACTTCTGACATCAAAAATACACAGAAATAGTATAATATCCAACAAGGTGTCTCCATGCCTTCTGAGTTCTTTAAATGTGAAGTTAAACCCTTCTGGTATGCAGGCACAAGTCATTCCTTAGTCAACACTGACTAAAACTCAGTGGAAAACATCTAGCCTTCAGCTCTGTTTCATACCACCTCCGAGGCAAGCACTGGGCCCACCTCATCATTTATGCTTAAGACTGGGAAATGTGTCCTCATTTTAAACATATTTGGAGACGTCATCCTATAAATCTATACAAAGCTTATTTGTATGGATTTTATTTTTATGTTTTGTGTACTTTTTATTCTGTGTCTTGAAGAAGGCAAATGTCTGTCCATCCATGTTCATCTCTGTGATAAAAGCTTTATATAAGGTGTTTCCTCCTTAAAAGTACATCACACTGGATGGTGGTGGTGCACACCTTTAATCCCAGCACTCAAGAGGCAGAACTAGGAATCTCGGAGTTTGAGGCCAGCCTGGTCTACAGAGTGAGTTCCAGGACAACCAGAGTTTCACAGGGAAACCCTGTCTTGAAAACAAAACAAAACAAACAAACAGTGTACCCACTATTTGACTTAACTTCCTATAGCACAGACCCAACTGGTTTCTAAACTATAATGATTTTAAATTGTATTTTGTTTGTGTTTTCAGCAATGGAAATTGAACCTAGTACCCATTCAACTAAGGAAGGCTCTACCACTAATCTTCATTCCCCAGTCCTGGGCAGGAACCTTC